AAAGAAAACCTGACAGACAAGCAGGGTGAAAGCGAGGGAGAACACCAGTGCATAATAGGCCACTGAGGGCACAGGTACTTCTCGCTACTCACTGCAAGCAGAATCCATGACGCAATGGAATAAATAGTTGCATCCGATCTCCTGAAGAAGTGAGCAGTGACTCTGGAAAGCTCCTCCCCTGCCACAAATTTTGCTAGTCTTTAAGGTGTTACTGGACTCTTGCTCTTTTCTACTGCATCAGATCTCCTAGTGACATGTCTCAAGGAGCTGCCCGTTAGTCGTTGCTGTCTGGCCACAAGTGTGGGAATGTTGCAGCCGCCTTTCCTGCTCTCTCAGATGGCTGAGAAACTCAGCAGAAGAGGAGGCTGCAGCCACTGTGGGGTGTTATCTTCTCAGCGCTTGGATTTGTCCATTTGGATATGAAGCAGGAACTCCTTTGTGTATTAGGCGACACAGCCTTAATATAGCCAATCCTCCAAGAGCTTACAGAACTCTCCTTACAGGGGCTATTGTAAGCCCTTGGAGGATTGGCTACATTAGGGGTGTGTCACCTAATATGCAAGGGAGTTCCTGCTACAAAAAGAGTTCAGGTATTTCCAGCAATGCTTCTCAGCATTACCTTTCTCTTGCAGGTGAGATTTCGGACGGAAAAGTCGACTGGGCCAGACCCTCCCTCGTCGCTAAGTCCCAGTACCACCGTCTTGCCCATCGAAAGGGCCCGCCTCCCAAGGAAAACCAAGCAAGAGACAGTTCCAGTCAATAACATTCTTTAATTCAATCAGTTAAAGAAGGTGCTGCATCTATAAACTTTTATTATGGAAAAAAATTGTAATTAACACATGCTTATTACACCCCGCCGGGAGAGTGGCACTTGGGGGGGGAGGGGCAGTGCCGAGGGCTGACCGGGAGGGTTTTTTGGGGTGGGGGGTTTGGAGGAGCTGGCTCAGTGCATTGGAAGGGAGGCTGGTTTCACAGAGGGAGTCGTCGGGTAGGCCTCGGCTCTCCTCTTGGGCGAGGGAGGAAAGGGAGCGTGGGGGGGGGGGAGCCCCACCGGGAGGCGGCGTGATTGCCATCTCTGTAAACACGGTCTGTTCACATTTCGGAAGGCGGCTGCGTCAGGTGCGATCGCTCTCTCTGCCTGTCTCACTTTTTCCGCTGGTGGCAGCAAAGACATCCGTTTAAGGCATCTATGTGGTGTAGGTGGGGGGGGGGATGAGTTCTTGGCTTCTTCTTTTTTAATCTCGGAACCAAACCGGTAGCCATGAAGAACTTCGCCAAGAGCAAAAGGGGAGGGCATGGAGAGGGGCGGGGAGGAGCTGGGTGCCGACGGGCCCTCAGGGCTGGGGGCCAGGCGAGGCTGTGGGGGGGGGGCCACCTGTCGGGGGCATTGCCAAACAGAGCCACTGTCCCCACCCAGGCACGAGCTGCCACAGCAGCACACGGGGCTGTGGGCCGGGACGATGCAGGGCGGCCCAGGGAAGGGCTTCTCAGCGGGCTGCCACGTTGCTGGATGGACTCCCTCAGGGTCCAGAACCACCTCTCTGGGGGTGATGTGCCCCGCCGCAGAAAGCGGCAGGAATGGAAGACAATACTGACATTCCCCGCGAGAAGGGCTGGGGAGCAGGCCCCCTAGCCGGTGGGGCTGCATTCCCATCTCAGTTGTCCGGGGGCCTCTCTCTGCAAAGGCAAGGGGGCTCTCCTGGAGTGGAACTGGAGGGGCCACGAAAGCCCACGGGCACATGGTTCTCTTCCCCAGCTTTAGGGATCCACGGAAGGCCAGAGCACTTCTGGGACCCGGGCTTCTCCTCTGGAATGGCTTTGGGGCCTTGCTCACAGGCCACACACGGGACAGCGGCTGAGCCGTCTTCCCAATCTGGGGGACAGGGGTTCCCCCCCTAAGTCTGATAAGGGAATGGGGTGTAGGGGGGGGACTGGCCCTGACCCCTCCTCCTGCCCACTTTCTGCCCCCCCCCCCCCCCCCCAGCAGCAGAGTGTTCCCCCCCCCCGGTGGGCAAAAGGTGCTTTGAGCGTGGGGCTGCTGGGAGCGAGGGGGGTCTTGCAGCCGCTGCTGGATCCACAGCGGGCAGCCCTGGGCCCGCCAGCCGCTCTCGTGCGCTGGGCCTTTACCAGGGAGGTGCCCAGCCCCGAATGAAGCGGGAGGAGGCACTGAAATGTCGTCTTTGCTGCGGAGACACGACCTTATAGGCACTTTGCAACTGGACCAAGGGAGGAGGGGGATGCGCGGGAGGGGGAAATGTGTCTCTTCCGGATGTCTCTGAGCAGCTCCTCCGAAAAGCAGGGGAGGGGGGCAAAAAGGACACGGGCTCCCCCATCACCCACCAAAACAGACACACACGCAGACACACGCAAACACACACACACGCACACACACACACACGTGACCCGGGAGCCCTTGGCACTGCCCCCCCCACTGGGCTTCCATCTCTGCTCTGGGGAAGGAGCTGGGGGGGGGGGGTGATGGGGGGGGAGAAGGAAGCCGATGATTTTTTTTCTTTTTTTTCTTTTTGAAATATATGTAGTTTTTTTAAAAGTTTTTTTAAAACATTTTAAAACATTTTTTTTTCTCTTTTCATTTTAAATTCACATAACACGATAAGCCATTCCAATGGAGAAAGCCGAAGAACGTTCAGGCAAAAAAAATATGATAAAAACAGTTTGGATTTTTCCTTTTTTTTCTCCTTTTTTTTTCTTCTCTTTTTTTGTTGTGAAGCAATATTGACAGTTATAACATATGGCTACCTGCGTTCTGCTAGACACAGAATAAACCTCAGAAAGAACAAAAACAGACAAAGAACTACCCTTTATTTTCAAATGCCGGGGAGGGG